GGAATCTGAAAGATGTTTTGAAAAATTGAAAAACATTGGAACGTTTCTTGCAGATAATAACGAGAAAGTTAAATTTAACCCGGATGGAGAGAGACTGATGTACTTTTACGTCTGGTCACTCGCTCCAAATGTGAGTACATACACTCCCTACATGGAAATCAACCTGACCAGCAACAACAATTATACGGTATAAATTAATATAACCTTTTCACTCTCCATTTTTTTTCTTCCCGAAATTCAACCAATTTACTTTTTTTTACTCATCTTTCCTCAGTATTTCTTTAAGGTAATAACATAAAACAAAATTCACGTAAATAACCGTGCTTGTCATATAGTGGAATCTTTACGCATTCGAAACCGGTTTCTGTAACTGGAGCGCTGAACGCCTTAGCCATAGCTCTACCAAATATTTGAATATTGGGCATACGTATACGTGTTTATTCATAGATCAATTTAATATTATATTTATTTAGAGAATCAACCAAGAAAGCAATAAAAATTAATTTTTGTAAATTATATTTGAGGAGTTGCTCCACTTTCTGTCCTTTAATTTTTTGTTTATTTCATAATCAACTGTGAGAACATTAAGTCAACTAGTTAGTTTTTTCGTTTGTCAATCAATCTGCCAAAAAAAATCATTTGTTGTAACGTATAAAAATACAATTCATTACAATACAACGTTTGACCACAGGTGTAATATTATGCATTAGCAAATTTTATCAAAGCATTTGATTCACGTTTTGTGCAAAATACATTTATATTTCATAAAATCAAATCAATCTAGGTTCAATCAATCTTAGTGATGTTGAGTTTCATGAAATTTTCTTTCACCAAACTTGCGCAATCAGAAAAGATGTTTATAATTATAGTAACACTATCTTTAAAACCATCATCGTTACAAATATTTCTTCAACCTTTACCCGTACGTATTTTCATTGAATAATTTCTCTGAAGCCAAAGTCTGCTATGACAATGGCCAACCATTGTTAAGCTTCTACCTATTCATTTACGACGTCAGGCCAATGAAATTAATTTCAAATAGATATTAATTAATAGTGCATCGTACATAACGAACGCACGATCCATTATGTTCAATCGTAATTATAATTTAGACTATTATAAACCCAATTTAATATGTTGAAAATTCAATTTTAATTAATTTTAATTCACAAAAGTGTCTCAAATAATATTAGTTTAGTCTATCTTATAAAAAAATGGTTAATTAGTTGTAATTATTTTGAATCAGGCGTACGTAATAGGCTATGATAGATGGGGAACAAGGTACAAGGCGCCAGTGGATACACCTGTTTGCGGGTTCGCCGATGAGTTCTGCATCCAGTCCTCAGGCACTTACTGAATAATTTTCATATTTTCATATTGTCTGATTTTGTATTTTAAAAAGATTGAACTAGTAGTTTAATATTTTTGAACTATTTCAAGGTTCAGAGAAATGAAGAACATACAAACAGCGTAAATGAATATATGCTAAACGACGCATCACACACAATGCACGTGATAGGAGGAAATCTTTTGTCGTATTCGAACCCGGTCACTGCATGCACTTCGAAAAAGGAACAGGCACCTTTAATCACTTGGTCATTTCTTCTAAAGTTCTCACGGCGCTTTGCACGCGTGATATGCATCTCTGGGTAATTTTTTGATAAGATTAACATCGAAAATTGAAAGCTCTTAAAATACTGAAACATTATCAAATACATCATTTTGAACATCACCGGCAACAATATTTTAATACTTTTTGCAGATATCACTACGTATCTTGTAACAACAAAATCATCTTGTATTTTAAATAAATATGATATTTTAAATTTCCACAAAATTTTCCCAGACAACACCGGGCTACTCGTCGCACTTGCTGTCGTTTTCATGGTCATACTTGCAATTTCGTCTATTCTATATTTCGTCAGGTATGCCTAAAGGCAATTTTTAAACTAACTTATATCCATTTCACTAGATTTTCATTTTTCCAGTGTTTAGTACACTTCATATGAGAAGCAACACAATTAAGTACCAAAAAAATCAAAATCTAAGTTTGTAGTCTACCACATTAAGTTCTTTACAATGTAAAATCATTTTTTGTTTATCGCATTTACTTGAACTTAAGTTAGTAAAAAATAATCTGCATAGACCTAAAATCAAAATTAAAACCAATCAGATTTATTTTCTTAAATAAACAAATCCAGAATAACATTTGTTGAGAGGAAAATATTCAAGATGTCCTGGAAGATCAATTATAGTGAATTGCATTTTTTTAAAGAAAAGAGAAGAGTGAGTAATTTTGATTATTTTCCTGAAATAATGTTTTAAATAAGGCAGCCTAGAAACATAATCAATTAAATAAAATTTAAACATTTTGAATTTTGGAACTCACGTGAAATGGAAATAGATGAGGAGCAATTCGGGACTCGCCGACGGTTCCAAGGTATCTGGCGATGACGAAAAAGTCCGAATGAGCAACTTCAAAGATTTGAACGACGATCACGGCCAGTTGAAAGCTGTCTACAAAGGAATGTTGGTGTCTGTTTGTTACTCAAACATGCACAGCATCAAACTGACCAGGGAGGATTTGGTTGAACTGGTCCAAATGAAGGAGCTCCAGCACGACAACTTGGTTCCGTTTTTAGGCGCCTGCACTGACGACGACAAAATTTGTTATATAATCCAGTATTGTTGTAGAGGCTCCTTACAAGTTAGCTAATCTAGTTTTATCAGAAATTTACTTGCAAATAATTTTTTGGGTTTTTTTTCATAACTTTTCAACCAATTTGCTGGTTGAGTGAAAATAGCGAAAATGATTTTGCTTCTAAATTAGTTTTAAAGATTTAGTAAAAAACTCTACGTTACCCTGAAGCATTATCCACGTGGGCAGTCCTATAATAAAAATTATATCACCAAAAATAAAAATATGGTTTAAAGCTTTTTAACACCCACTGAAGGACATCCTTAGCGATGAAAACATGAAGCTGGATCGGTCGTTCAAGCTCTCATTCATGATTGATATTGCGAAGGTGACGTCGATACTTGTTTTTTTGCTTGTAAAAAGAAATCATGTATGTACCATATTTGTTAAGTCAATTGTACAATAGCCATTCATTTAAATGTGTAATACATTATGCTACAAATATATTACTACACATTATTTGGCATAATCTCACAATTTCACCAAGTTTTTCCAATGTATCTAGCGATGAAATAACTAATTCGGTAATGCACCTTTAGGGCATGGCTCACCTTCACAAATCTTTTTTCCAGTCTCACAAGAAACTGACGAGCAGCGTGTGTATGGTGGACAACAGGTAGTTGCATGTTAAACTTAAGCCGTTTTATAAACTCAAAATAACCTTCTAACAAAAATTTTAAAAATTGTCGGCTAATGCGTAAAATCAATACCTTACAGATGGGTGGTCAAAATAACAGGATTTGGTTTGCAAGCTTTCAAACCACCAACAAAAATTGATGAAACAATCGACAAATTCTACGACGAATTTCTGTGGATGGCTCCAGAACTTTTGAGATCAGGCACCAAGTTGTCTGGCAGTCAAAAAGGAGATGTTTACAGCTTTGGAATCATCTGTTATGAAATTGTCTTCAGGATGTACCCCTACCAGCAAACTGGTCTGACTGCTAAAGGTCAGTACATTCAAAGAAATGTAAGCATTTGTTGGATTAGGATTTTAAAATTTTAATACGGCTTTCACGTGGACAGCTTACAGATTTGCTAAAAATTGGTTTAACCAATCACAGTTTTTGAAAATGCTTAAAAAATTTAAAAACAAACAATAGTTATAAGTAACTTAACTAAAATCAAAAAAGTCACAATTAAGATAACATAAAATTGAATTCATATAAAATTAGTAACTCAGTTGAAATCATAAAAAATTTGCATGATTGACAAATTTTTGATTATATGGGCACTGATAACGAGAACGTTTTGTCTATTTACACAATTTTCTTTTACTACAATTAATTGCTTATTAACATCTTTGGTCCTACTACGAACTCTCTCAAAGATGACATCTTTTAGCTAATCCATCATTGTTAATTTTAATTTTTTAATAAAAATAATTTTAATTCTTTCATAACCTTTTCAGAAGTAATTCATAGAATCATGTTCAGCAACGAGGCCATCTTTCGACCGCCGATGATGCCACACGAGACAAAGAACATCAATCCAGTGAAGATAGAACTGATCCAACAGTGCTGGGATGAGAACCCTGCTAACAGACCAACGTTTGAAAGTATCGGCAAAGTTTTGCAAAAGTTTACGAACAAGTAAATTTTTTTATGAATGAGACATATTTTTAAAAAATCAAACATCACATCCAATAACTTAGTCCAATGAACGAAACACAACGCAGTCTGAGATTTTTGCCAGAGTCAGAATTTTTGAGCGACCTGAGTCAGATAGTTTTCATCCGACTCTGACACTTTGGTTATTTGCATTTTAAAATTTGTTTAATTTTTACAATTTACTCTGCTGTATCTTTAAAGATACCAACAACAAATCAAGCATCGCATATGAGTGAAGAAGCGCGAATCAACCCATCAAGCGAGGATCATCTTGTATATTGACCGTTAACCATTACGTAATCATGCCGCTGTTTAAGTTATCAACAGTTTTCGAAATTTGTAACCAAACAAAATTCATGTCTAAGCCTATAAGGAATTTTAAGAAAAATATTTGCTTGAAAAGCATAAACTGACAATAATGATGAATTTATTGTTCGGTGGTACATTTCACTATAACAAAAATCTCTTACATTTCAGTTGTCTGTTGTAATTTTTTTTTTCAATGTAAACATTTTAATTATTTTTTGTCTATTTGTCTACATTATTTAACGAGTTTAGTATTTGAATATTTAGTAATCGATATTTTTTCATATTTTAACTATTTTCTCCAACTTGAGAACTGTTCATACCTTGATTACCAACAAAATAAAATATTTATAAACCCAAGGACCAATGCTAACATAGTGGACAGCATGTTGGAAAAACTGGAAAAGTATGCCAATGACTTGGAAAAAATTGTGGACCAGAGAGCAAAGGAGCTTGTTGACGAGAAGAGAAAGACTGACTTGCTGCTTCACAGCATGTTACCGCCGTGAGATTATCTATACTTCCACACAAAAATTTTCACAGTTTATTCTTATTTTGTCCAACGGTTTTAAGTCTGACGCTTTTTATTTTGTGACCATCTTGTTCATCTTAATTTTCAGACACGACTATACACGTGTGTATTTTGTTCCATGTTGTTCTGTCTATAACTTAATAAATTACTTCCATTCCGTCTATTTTGGAAATGGTTAATTGTTTCATTTTGCTTTAATGAATTCAACTAAAAATTTAACAATCTGATATTCGGGCCAAAAAAGGGTATTAGTTGAAAAATACATTAAAGTAGTAAAGAAAAAATAGCGTTTAAAATTATCATTCACACAAAGACATGTATCTCAATACAAATTGAATCCTAAACTTGTTTCTATTCATAAATTTATCTACTGAATAAGCTTCATTGTTGAAGAGTTGAAAGCCGGTCGGAAAGTTGAACCGATGATGTACCAGAACGCCACGGTGTACTTCTCTGACATTGTTGGATTCACAAAACTCTCATCTGAGAGCACTCCCATGCAAATTGTGGATCTGCTTAACGATCTGTATGGAACATTTGATGATACCATCTCCAGGCACAATGTATATAAGGTTTAAACCTCTAATACTTTCTTGCTAATTCAGCTGATTTTTATTTTGAAGTATTTAACATAATGTTCAAAAAATCAATTTTGGTAAATAAATCAAGTGTAAAAATTTGGTAAAAAAAAACTAACTGTGCATAATATACTTTAGCAGTTTTTAGATATTTATATTATCAACAAAGCATTTCAATTGAAGGTTGAGACAATCGGAGACTCGTACATGGTTGTGAGTGGTCTGCCTCAGGTAACAGAGCGCCATGTCGTGGAAATATGCAACATGGCATTGGATCTGCTGGGCATCGTCAAGACCTTCAAGATCAGACATCGGCCTGAGATGACACTCATGTTGAGGATTGGCATTCATTCGGGATCTTGTGCTGCCGGTTCGAACGTTTTCACTAACTTCTGAAGGTTGTATGCTAAATGGTCCTAATAATTCCAACAGGAGTGGTCGGTCACACGATGCCTCGCTACTGCTTGTTTGGTGATACGGTCAACACCGCATCCAGGATGGAATCAACTGGTGAAGGTGATAGATATTTTTATTTTTATGCAATAAGGCGTAAAATATTTTTGTTGATAATTATGCCAATAAATTTTGAAAAAGGCGTTTTTGTCGTTAAGACTAAAATGTTGCCGATTTCGTAACTTGTTATTTATTTGTGTTTCTCGTCTAGTTTTTATTTAGCGAAACTGTTTTTCAATATTTTTTTAAAAATATATTAGTTTATTTAAACTTTCTTGTAAAAAAATGTTTAATTTGTTTTTATTCCAACGAACAACAGCCCTTAAAATTCATCTGAGCTCATCAGCTATGGAAGAACTTTCTGCATATCGCCAGTACAAGGTGGAGCTGAGAGGGAGCACGGAGTTGAAGGTTTTTGTTCATTCAATTAATTAATGTACCATTAAAATTTATGAAAAGGTATTTGTTAGGACAGCAATGTATGTTTTAAAATGCATGAAACAAAAAACCTATACACACTCAAACGCTAAATGTAGCACATCATAGAGTCAAGAATCTCATTACAGTTGAGTTGTTTATGCTGCTTAAAATTTTATTCGGAGTAACAGTATATTTATTTGCAATTTTATATATTTCTTAGTTTAATGAATCCTAGATACTTAATCAGGCTGGACTGCTTGATATGAAACATTTTTATAATGTATCAAACACTGAAATAGATGAGTCTTATTAATGAAAATGGTTTGAAAATAACTCCAAAGCTTTTTTTTCCCTTTTAAACTCCACAGAATTTAAAAAAAATTTTGTTCATCGTTTTCATAGCGAGTTGTTTTTGAGTCAATATATTTGTTAAAATCTTGTAATTTTTACATTTTCATCTTATTTGACCATCTGTAGGGAAAAGGAATAATGACCACATATTGGCTTGTAGGAAAACACTCTTAAACTGATGAGCTCGTGCTAGACAGACGACTTGTTCAGACAATCAATCATTTAAAAATTCATACATTTTGTGTCCATTTTTTAACTGTTCATCTATTTAATCATACACTCATACGTCAACCAAATAATTCGTTTTAGTCGTCTTTTATTCACTTTTTAGATGATAATTCTTTTCTTTAATATTTAGTTTTTAAATAATATGAATATTTCTTTTGCATTTTTACATTATTTTAGTTAATATTGTTCAGACCAGTGACGCTGGGCTTAAATTTGTTGCAAAAGTTGGCGATCTTCTTTTTGCTTATAAAACAATTATTTCGAGAAATATGGCTTTTCAAAACAAGGGATTTTGTACAAAATTATACACAACTTTCTCGTTTTGAGAGCTTAAGTATTTTTATTCCGAATTTTTCAAATTTTTGTAAAGATTTTGTTCAATTTAGCTTAACGCCTCTGGTTTGAACTCATTTCAAAAGACATCTCTGTCGATGTTGTGTTATATCAGGCTTTTGTACTTAATCGCTCGAGCACTCTTAACATTATGTTATTCCAATGTAAGTTAGTTTTGTACCTTGCCTAATTACGATTCATAAACATGAACCTGTTCTGCTGTTTGCATTTTTGTTGTTTACTATTTAAACGCTTAACTGTTGTGGACATTAAAAAATGTATATTCTGATTTATTCAGCATTTTATATTACTAATATGTTTTTAACATGCCAGGTCATCCAATTGTTTTATGATCTAGCTTGACGAATTAAAATAACTATCACCATCAATCCCATTTCTATTGGACTGCAATACTTCGCCACATTAATGGTAAATTTTACATAGACACACCTAAATAACCCATTAATGCATAGTGTCCTTTTTAAAGGACACTTCGTAATTCAAGTGCTACCCGTATATGTCTTAGATTGTGATGATTAATGTTATTCCTGTACACCCCTGCGTTATTTATCTAATGGGTTAAACCGGATATATACGTTTTTGTTGACATTTTATAAGTTTATTGAAGGTTTAAAAATAAAGTTTGTCGAAAATCGCATTTTTTGTCATGTCTCAATATAAAAAGTAAGTAACATTCATTTTGTAGAATTTTCTCTACAATATTGTTATAATAATGTTATAAAATCATCGCTTTTTCATTTATTATCAAACAGTGACCCACGATGTCGCAGTAATAGCTACAAGGCATGTTTTAGGTATGTCCTTTAAAAAGGACGACATGCAGTATAGGGTACATGATTTTAACGTTGGAGATGGCTTATTGTACATAATAATAATAAAGCATCTTTTTTCAACCGTTGTTAATTATATTTGGCTCAATTTAATTTAATTAAATTAACAATTAACTAAAAAGATTTATTTCCTATATAAAAGTCAACAAAACTATTAAAATTATTTCAGGCGTTTCAATGTTGCTGAAGTAATCAGCATGCTGGAGGATTCAGATTTTCAAACTGCAGATATTGTCATCTTACCACCTGAAGATGCAACCAAATCTGACCAGGATAGTGGACCAGAAGACGATGATGGTGTCATTGGCAACCTCTCTGGAAATCAGCTGCGTGCTGAAGCTGAAGCCGTACTTACTGTTGCTGGTTTTCATAAGCAACAATTAGAGACAGCCTTGTTGGCTGACGATAATGTTGACTCAAATGATGACTTGCCGTTGATTGAAGTCTACGGAAAGAAAGTTGATAAAGATGAAATTAATGTCAGTAGATCAAAGCGGCGAAGACATTCTGCCACAAGCACTCACAACAGCTCAGCATGTGCAACAACTCCACTACAACAATCGTCGAAAAAAAGGACTGCACCACCACCACCAAGGCAGTGGGTTAAATGTGATTTGAAGCAGTCAGAAAACACATGGAATAGTACTCCAACTCCAATCAATGATCACACACCGGCCTCCCTATTTGAATTATTCTATGATGATGTGGTTATTGACCATATCACAAAAATGTCCAATTTGTATGCCCTCCAAAACTTGAAGCAGTTAGATGCAACAAACTCTAAAATCCATTTAGCCATAGCAATTCTTTTCATCTCAGGATATGTCCCTTTAGCTAACAGATGTTTAGCTAAATGCTGAAGATGTGCACAATGAGGCCATTAGCAGTGCAATGACTGTAAACCGATTTGAGGAGTTGCTGCGATATATTCACGTTTGTGATAATACTAATCTTGATGCAGGGGACAAGCTTTCCAAACTCCGTCCACTATTTGTAATGCTAAATGAACGCTTTGCTCAACACTGGCCTACTGAACAGGATATTTCCGTTGATGAATCCATGGTGCCGTACTATGGACGCCACTCATCAAAACAGTTCATCCGTGGCAAACCTATTCGTTTCGGGTTTAAAGTCTGGTGTATGAACAGTCGTTTGGGCTACTTGGTGCAGTGTGAGCCTTATCAAGGATCAAATGGCTTGTTTTATGCAGATCTGGGACTTGGTGGCTCTGTTGTGACTCATCTAGTGAATACGCTGCCTCTTGGACCTCCATACAGACTGTATATAGATAATTTCTTCACGTCTCCACGTCTTCAGACAATGAATATTTCTGCGACTGGTACTGTGCGAGCAAATAGGATGGAGAAGTGCCCTTTGATAGAAGTGGATGTGTTGAAGAAAGATGCACGAGGCACATCTGACCATCGCTTTGACAGAAAGTCGGGAATGTTAGCTGTTCGGTGGAACGATAATAATGTAGTAACAGTGCTATCTAACTGTTTTGGAGTTCATCCACTGGTTCAAGCCAAAAGATGGTCAGCAACAGAAAAAAAGCATGTTCGAATTCCCATGCCAAACCTGATTGCTCAGTATAATCGTTACATGGGTGGAACGGATAGAATGGACCAGAATGTTGCCAAATGTCGAATAAATATTCGTATCAAGAAATGGTGGTGGGCATTGTTCTGCTTTGCAATTGATGTAAGTGTTCAGAATGCTTGGCAACTGTACAGGATATCAGAAGCCGCCAAACATCATGACTATAATCTGATAAAATTTCGGCGAGATGTTGCAATGACATATATCTTGAAGTATCGAGCCACAAATAACATTGGACGTCCAATTCGTAGTCATGCTACTAGCTGCCGTACAGTCCAAGATGGTGTTAGATTTGATGGTGGACACATTGATGGTGGTCAGAAAAGATGTGTTCAGTGTGGTATGAAGGTTCAGCGAAAATGTAATAAATGTGGTGTGCCTTTGCATGACCGCTGCTTTGAACTCTTTCACACAAAGTGAACTGAACTTATATCATTAGCAGTTGAACCTGCCTTAGTTTGATAAACATTATTTTTATGCTGTTGCTAACATTAATACATTGTATCAGTCATGTTTTCAAATATATATACCTATATTTCATGAATATTGAATGTTGTTAAAATATTATACCAGTTTTATTCTGATAAATGTTAATTTAAAAATATCATGGTTATGCAAAATTAATTACATTTACTAATCTAGACATCAGTAATGGTTATTTTCCATATAACAGCTCTTATATTTATTAAAATTATTACCAGAATATCATAATTGACAAACCAACGTCATTATAAAAAACATGTACCCTGTAGTGCATGGCGTCCTTTTTTAAGGACATTTTTTATTTTCACTCTAACTCAATTATTAGGTGTCCCAATTTTTTTTTAATATTTTTCCAATTGTTTTATACCTATAAAGCATCAGTTGTGAAAAAAAAATGAAATCAAAGATGTCATGCATTAATGGGATAATTCAATTCATAGATGTTCATGACATTTAGCACTTGACTCATGAGTATTGTGTTTGTTTGGCATGTATACGCTTCATAAGATTTTTAACAATTTTATGATTTGATATCGTTTTGTTAGTTAAAGCAACAAACAAACAAATAAACCAATGTACATCGATGATTTTTATGAAGGAATAGAGAGTAGAATTAAAAACCGACTTTACGAAAAATTCCAACTCTGACTCCGGGTAAAATTTCCGATTCCGACTTTGACTCATGACACCGGGTTCTGACTCAACGTAATTGTTTTCCTTACTAAAATTACATGTATAAAAACATACGGGAAGGAGACATGATTTTATTCATGTTGTTAGAGTTGGTTTTCAGTAGTAAAGATGATCACATGTTGCTACACACGACCATGTTCTAAAAAACACGATTCAAATAAATATTTTCAGAATTAAAAATAAAGAAAAGTTTTCAAATTTTTTTTATTTACCGGAATCGAATGAAAATATCCACCTTAGTCCGTCAAAAAATTCCAGAAAAATCTCCGACCACGACGCTAACGATTTGGATTTAACTAAAATTTCTTAATCATTTTTCACTGAGCGTTTTGCTTTTTATCATCCATATAATTTTTTCTTGTTTACTTGAGTTTTGCCATGATAGGGTATTTCTCCTCAAAAGTACTTCCAATAAAGTTAAAACATCGTACAAAGTTGAAAAAGGTTCTCCATGACAAAGGTCAACATCAAAAGAATATGAGTAATTAAAAATTAAAAACAATTAACAAAGTGAACGAATGCATGGAACAAAGTTGAATTTCAAAGAAGTTGACATCAAACAAAAATGACTTGAAACAAAGTAATCCAAAGTTAATTGATCAAAGGACCACCTTGTCCACAATCATCACTGAGAATATTTCAAGTGGGCAACATGAGAGCCATGCACATCAATCAAAATTTTACAAAGTGAAATCCTAGAACAAAGAAACATTTTAAAGTTGATGTTGAAGTTGAAAATTGATTTTTAAATGTTCACAAAGGTTTGCAGATAAAGTTGATTTGTCAAACTTTCTATATAAGAAGCTAGAAGCTCGAAATGTCTGAAATCATTCAGAGTTCATCCACGGTATAGACCGATTTTGGATTGAAATAAAAAAAGGTTTTTGAAAAAATTTATAACTTAATAATTTTATAACTAATTTAATTTTAATCTGAAGTTATTATTCAAACAAAATAAAAATAAGTAAGATATTACAACACTCGAAAATAAAATCGAATTGAATAATGGACAACAACAACAACATCAACGATAACGCTGAAGACGCACAAAATATTGATAATGTGAACAACATTAATGAGATCATCAATAGAAACGGTGATGGCGGATGTGAAGAGGATGACATCATTCAAAACAGTTACCTTGCGCAAAATTATGACCCTCAGTTTTTCATTAGGAATCCTGCCAGTTTCGATTGCATCAGGAAGGCAACGATTAAAAAATTTAAGAAGTACAAGGTCAATACGAGTAAAGCAGGACTCTTCATGCAAGTGATGTTGAAGCGAACAGCAAGAAAGTGCAACAGTTGGGTCATGTATTACGACATTGCGGTTGATCCTACCTTGATACCGGTAGACCAACCTACCACAAAAAAGTCGTCTCGTCAACGAACACGCTCACTCGATAGTGTAGAAGTTGATGTGCAAGCTGCAAGGAAGTTTCATAAAAGATCGTTTTTAAAAAGATCATCTTCATTTGTTAATCGCTCTTAAGTTGTTGTTGAAACTTCTGTTAGAAATTGTTTCTATAACTGTTCAAACGATGTACATACAATGTACAGAGCAGTGACAATCTTTATTACTTTGAACCATTTCTTTGAACATTTTCATTTCGATTCATTTTTTTTAATTTGTTACTCTATTTTTCTTCATTTTTTGAGAACAAATCATCTATGTGTTTTATGTTGTAAAAGTATAATGAATTGCTAATAAAATTAAAACAGTGAATTGAAACTGTTTGTGTTTTTATACAAATCGTGTTAATCGCACCTATTATATTCCCCGTGTGGGTGTACGTACAAATAATATGAGTGTACCATAAGTTTCCTAAATTTTTTTGGAATATTCTCAGCAGAAATTTCTTACCATATGATTTAAGGTAATTTGTATAAAACTTTATCAGAGAGAGGCCTTGTTAAAAAAGATTATTGAGCTGAAGCCTTCACACAATAAATATTTTTAAGGGTCCAGATTAAAAGTAACCAATTCTTCATATATATTTACTTTAAAAGTTGTAGCAGACATACTTGGCGATTAGTAAAAATTAAAAAAACTTATGGTTTAAATTAAAAAAAAACTGTTTCATCCGACCGGCAATAATGAATTTGTTGATTGAAATATCTGTAACCACTGATAATGTATACATTTATATCTGCTATGAATCGTAATACGAATATGTCAGAAATACACAATGTTTAAAGAGACGCTGTAAAATTATTGATTTAAAACCATTTAAAATTGTGACCAGACTGTTTTATGTTTAATATTGATTTTGTCTCAAGTTTTTCTAAGAAAAGAAATCATTGAAGAATCAAAAAACAAATTAAACTCGCTGGTTCACTAAAAGTGTTTTAATTAATAAAATAAATAAATTCCAAACGTCTGCAGTTCAAAAGTTAAAATACAAAACAACAGATGTTGTGTAGGACTAATATGAAATCAAAAATGATGTGAGGTAATTTTAATGAGAATTTGAAAAATTTGAAAAAAATTAATATAAATTATAAAATTTAACATTAAAATAGAAATTGTTTGAATTTAATACACAAGTAGACTCCCTGGATGAATCCTTAACAGCCATAAAATAAATAATAAATGGTAATGCAAATTGATAATGGTGAAAAAATGAAAAATTAGTAAAGATACTGCAAGACATTGCCACACAAAACTAACCACAAAACTCGAACTGTGCAACAACTATTCAATTATATAGAAATATTTTTCACAAGCTTTTTTTGAGAAAAAAAATTCCACTTTTACTTCAGGAAAATTAGAAAATAAAAATATTTACGATAACTTTTGTTTAATCTTCTTCGTCTTTGGTATCATCTGCAGAATCTTTTCTGAGCAACCAGTACGTTACCATTGTTCCTTTACCCTGGAAATAAATTGAAAACTTGTGTGACTCAGACAATTTTCAAATTATTATTAAAATGACACACCTTCAATTCTGTTGGACCTCTCAGCTCCATGACGTAACCTGGAAATCTAGAAAGTTGATCCCTGGCTGGAGTGCTCAGATGGATTTTAAGAGCTTAAAAAATTTATATATATTTTTTAACGGATTTCAAGATCAAATTTAACCAATTTGAACAATCCAAAAATTAAAAAAAAATTAAAATCCTGTGAAGTTATAAAAAATGGATGATGAGTTGTTTCTTTTTGTCGTTTTTTATGTCAAAATACATTGTTGACAATTACAAAGTTTTTGACAAAAATGGATGTTGGCTAGGTAAAAAATAAAAACCAAGATGCAAAAAACAAACAAAAAATTTCCTATTTAACATTTTGACTCTTTTGTTTTTTATTTTTGTTCATTTTGTTCTGTCTTTTTAATATTTAAAAACAAAATTAAGACTAGTTTGCTCAGTCTGTTGAAAACCTCTTTTGGGATCTAAGAAAACGTTAAAACATCTCAAGTAATAATATTTTGATGACTCAAAAACATACCTTCTCCAGTTGACTCCATCCTCGATGCAGTATTTACCGTATCTCCAAACAGACAGTAGCGAGGCATGGTGTGACCAACCACTCCTACGTTACAAAAATGTTATGAATGATTTCAATTTTCAATTTCAGCAGCTCTTTTTCAAAATGTCAAAGTTGATCTTAATTAACGGCAACATTTCTGACAAACCAGCAGCACAAGGTCCCGAATGAATGCCAATCCTCAACATGAGTGTCATCTCAGGCCGATGTCTGATCTTGAAGGTCTTGACGATGCCCAGCAGATCCAATGCCATGTTGCATATTTCCACGACATGGCGCTCTGTTACCTGAGGCAGACCGCTTACAACCATGTACGAGTCTCCGATTGTCTCAACCTAAGCACCAAATTTTTTTCAAATGCAATTTGACTTTTATAGTTAAATTAAATTAAAAAAAATAACTCATTCGATACGAGCTCAACTGAAATAGTTTACAGTTTTTCTTAATCAAAAATGTTATTTCATATACATTTACGACGTTGTTGAAAAAACTTGAAATTGTTATTGAACTGTTTAATATTTGTTATGAATTTTATTTTAAGCAAAATTACTAATTCTCATGTAAAATAAAATATAAAAATTGATATGACCAGAAGAACACAACCTTATAAACTTTATGCCTGGAGATGGTGTCATCAAAAACTCCATAGAGATCATTAAGCAGATCAACAATTTGTATGGGAGTGCTGTCAGAGGAAAGTGTCGTGAATCCAACAATGTCTGAAAAGTAGACAGTTACGCTGTGGTACATCTGGGGCTCCACTTTGTGACCTGCTTTCAACTCGTCGGCTATGAAACTGAAATCAGGTGAGAACAAAACTAAATTAAAAAGTTATATCCTGCATAAGTGATGCAGTTTTAGTGAAATTATTTCTAATCATTAATAAACAAAATGAAACATAGCGTGAAACTTTAATCAACGATCAGACAAATAGAATTTAAAAAAAATTAAAAGTTTAGACAACTCGGAAATTTCAAATAGACATTTTTCGTTCTCCTTATCTACAAATATTATCCATAAAACGAACGGTGGCAGCATGCTATTGAGTAGTACGTCAGTTTTCTTCTTTTCTTCAATCAGTTCTGCGTTCCTCTGTTCGACAACAAGTTCAAGGTTGCTTGCGTACTTCTCCAATTTTTTCAACATGCTGTCCACGATGCTGTCAGTTCTGTGGCATGCAAGAAAATCAATATTATTAAACGCTATGTAAAAATTGAGAATTTCTTTTGGAATTCCGCCCAACTGCTAAAGATTCTATTATTTAGCTAATTCATCATTCGTTTGTTCTTCCATTCATTCAAAAATTATCTAATCAACTCATTCATTCAATTCATTTATTAAATCATTCACTATTTTATTAATTTGATGTGGAATTGTACCATCATATATTTGTTGTAAGTTTTATCTGCTATCAATGGAAGCTTTCACGTTCTACATTCATTGTATTTATACAACATACACATCCGTCCCATGCGGTTAAAATTAAATTGTGTTCTTATTAAACTCAATTCATTTTGCATTTAAATTTATAATGTTGTGTTACATATTACATTCAAATTGGACCGACAATTCAAATAAATGTTCACAGAGAGATAACAAACTTTCCGGTGTAGAATTTCTTCATTGTTTTTTCTATAGTATAAAAGGTCGGACGATCACCTGGGTCTTCGGCCCAACATTCCGTCATCAAGTTCAAAATTGAAGAATTGACCTCGGAATCATCCAAAGGATGTAGTCGAGGTCGAAATGATTCATTTTGGCAGTTGTATATGCGCGTTATTATATCTGTTTTTGTGTCATTTGCAATTAAAATTTGTTGTAAATTTAAGAGTTGAATTTGTTTTCAAAAATACACTACTGATTTGTTGGAAACAATGAATACGAAGTAGAACTTATATAAACATTCATTTAATTTGTGAATTACAAACACCTTTGTACTCTAGGTTGGTATCATAGTATGGATAGCATCTATAAAGTATCTCGTACATAATTATTGCAAAGCTGTAGACGTCGCCTTTCTGACTGAAACCTGCTTTGAACACCATTTATTTTCGAACATAATTCACTATTTTGCTACTTCAAAATCTATTGTTGTTTAGTATAAACAATACATGCAATTATTATAAATGTTAACCATTCCATAATAAAAACCAAAAGCCAATTGGAAAATTGTATTTTGGATGAATATCAATAGGCAATCCGTAAAAATAAACGAAATAAACGACGTTACTGATATCTTATATTCAGTTATTTGTGAAAATAAACCATTGCGGATTGTATTCAAAAAGCAGACAAGTTGTTTTTAATATTAAACTTTCATTTAACTAGATTTTTAATTACAAAAAAAAACTGTCATACTATAACCAAAATGGCTCTTTTGATTTTTTTTCTTATTTTTGTATCTTACGGATTTAGCCGTCTGTTAAAATGCACGCGTGTTTAGGCCTGAAAGTAAACAATTAATAGATAACACCGATATAGCTTGCCATTTTTTTACGGTTTTAGCCGGCGCTAATTCACGCGTTTTTGAAAAACTTCATTTGTAATTCAAAATAAATTAGCCGATAATATTAATTTTACACATTTTCCTTATCAACACGTGTTACACTGACTTAAATTTGACGACAGGAGGTGCTCAGGAGCGGTCCACAGAAGTTTCTTGTAGTAGCTCTCACCTGGTTCATCTTCCTTCACGTCTGATTTAAATGCCGATAGACCAAAGCCTGCAACTTTAAGGACCCATCTGTTTCAAATGGTGTGCAACTCTACATTGAAATTCATTCATGCATGTAAGGATACATTGAATCGTAATAAGGAAAAATTAGAAACTTTTTAAGTTTAACTAAAGATATTGATAAAACAAACCTGTTATCAACCATACAGACACTACTGTTCAGCGTGCCGTGTTGTTCCACAAATGATTTGTGCAAGTAATTCATCCCCTGGTGAAAATGTTCATATGTTTTATTTGTAACATATGTGTAGCGTTGACAAGTTGAGGACATTTTTAATGAGAATTATTAGATGTTTCAACAGTTGAAAGTCATGATAAAGATAAACGTTAAAAGTTTTTTTATACGTTATTGAAAAAAAAACTCAAGTCGTATTGTATTAACTTTAGTTAGATCAGTGATGAAAGACAGCTTGAAGGTCCAGTCAACTGCGATCTGGAGATCGGCCAACAAGTCCTGGAAACAACAACGACGATCATTTTAATTTTTAACAACTGCTAACACGAGTTTTAACACTGAGCTAGAGGTAACAAATAGATCATTCAAATTTAAATATTGATGACAATTTTTCTTCAACAGATCATTCAAAAACTAAGTTTTATAATATTATGATCAGAAAAAGTCGTTTTTCACTAAAAGTGTAAATCCAATGAAATCGGGCAGTTGGTCTAAATCGAACATTTCGTACATTGTAGCTTCCTTTTCAGATGCATTTCGTTTTTTTAATGTTAATACAATCTTTGGTGTATGGTTGATGAAATAACTTGAAAGTAAAAGATAGCTTACCTGTAGACTGCCCCTAGCACAGTATTGGGTGAGGTAGCATATTCTGTCTGGTTCAGCACAGGCTCCAAGGAAGTACACTATGTTATCGTGTTGCAGTTCCTTCATCTGTTGGTCATAGGAGTGAAAAATTTGGTCAGGACAAATTGAACTAAATTGAGGACAACGATACGATTTATAAATATCTCAAAAAATAAGTGAGTTTGCTTACTGTATCAATTGGTTCGTCGGTCACTATTTGTTATAAAAATCGAGAAAAATTCATTTGAAAATGTTGCTGACTTTCACAAGCTCCACGAGCTCCTTCCTGGTCAGTATGACTTGCTTCTTAGCAGAATAGTTCACAGTGACCACATCTCCCTTGTAGATTGCAATCAGCACTCCACCGGCATTTGATTTTTCGAGTTCTTTGAACGAGTCAAGAAACAAATGTTCATCAGATTCGTTGAGATCAGAAGACCGGGATAGGCTCTTTAACTGTTCAGTTGAAAGGTATATACTATTTTTATTACACGCTGCTACTTTATTTTGATTGATTTTATTAATGAGAAGTTTATTTTGCATTTGCTGTTTGAAGTTTGTACAATAATTGGTGTTAATCTTTAATCCTCATTTAATGACTCACACTTCTTGGCGTCTTAATGAAATGCAGGTCACTGTATTTTATCTTCCACGTCATGCTCTGGATTTTCTGCTCATTGATTTGCGATCTAAATATTTTTCCCCAATAAATAAAATTAAAAATTTTAATAATTTAAAAATCAAAATTTTTTTTAATTTACCTTAGCAATTAACTTACCGAATGACCATAGCCACAACCAGTATGAATATAAGCAGCAGGAACATCACAACCAGTCCGATTATTAAGAGTTTGTTGTCTGGCATAAATTAGTTTAAAAAATAACTGTTGGTATCTAATTGATACCATGAACACGAACTTGTTAAATATAAATAAATAAATTAAGGTAAACTTTTGTTATTCGTTACTTGTTATCCATCATACGAAAAAATTGAAAGATTTTAAATATAAACTGCAACGAACAAAAATAAATTAACCTTGTGAGCAAAACTTGTAATCAAAACCACAGGCTGGTCTATCAGGCGGTGGGATGCTTCCATAACCCCAGCTCTCTGCGCTCACCAAGAAAGGCTGGATGAATGTAACATATAACAACTGTAACAATGAAATACGTTGTAATAAAGTGTAACTTATTGAAGCTGCGTTAGCGTCTATTTTGAATTGATTTAAGAGGCACAACTGCGTGCGCGTGCGTGTGTGCGCGTGTGTCTGTCTTTGTGTGTCTGTGTTGGTCTGAATATGAACAACAGCTATCAGGAACCGTGTAGCCATTATCAGTGAAGTTGAATGTGAGGAATGGTCTGAAGGTAGCGGCGTCAGGTGCCAGGGACCAAAGATTGAATGACATGAACCTATCCCCATCGTCGTTCATCTTTATTGTCTCCGTGACACCTGTGAACATTTGCTATTTAAACTATCGAAAAATGAGGATAATTCATTCGTTTATTTAGATTCTGGTATAATTTAACAACTGATTAAATAAACTGAAAAAATTTAAGTGCTACAAATCTTCTAGCTTAATGGTTTCTTCAAATTGTAAAAACTTTTTTAAACGTCAATGTTTTCATTCTAATTTCTATCGTGACGACAATTTTTCCATGTTGTCCAAAGTCATCAATATTTTTAAAACCGCAGCCAGCTAAGTCAATAGACAAAAAACCGATGGTACAGTTGTTAATGTTTCAGCAAACATTGAACTATATGTAATAATTATACTCAAAGATACAATTAAATATTAATTGACACACGCATAAATAATAATAATAGCAACAGCAACAACAATAATGATAATATAATATAAATTATATAAATAATAATAATGTTATAAATGTTATTAATATAAATAATAATAATAATATAAATAATTATTATAAAAATCTAAATAGTCTAAATAATAATAATAATAATACCTCCGCTGAGCTCTATGCTTCTGCTTAAGTTCAAAATGTTCTTACCACTCAGTGGCTCCAGGTTATTTTCGTAAGCTTTCTCCATCAGTGAGAAAAATAAAAATATCGAATCGGTCAGAATATCCTGAATGAAAATGTTTTTGGCAATTTGATTATAATAATAGAAACTTTTACAACGGATAAATGTAGGCATATGAAACAACGCTTAATTGAAACTCTATCACCTCCATCACCATCAAAATCATCACCATCATATATTACGTCATCGTCACTGCTGCCATTGTTGCTACAATTTGCCTCTCGAAGCCTGAAATCACCACCATCATCATTTCATCACCGCATCATCGTCATCATCATTGTCTGGTCAGCATATCTTCATTTTGTAGTCACCATCATCGTCGTCTAACCAACTGTAGTGTCTTGGAGGTAACGTTGTGTGTGAGGTTAGCTCCCGGGTCCATCAGGCGAGTATAGTTTTTGAAGGTCAGCTGGTTGATGTTGTTTCATTTCAAAAAGTCAATCAGCATATTTTTTAAATATTACTTCAATAAATTCGGTGGATGAACTTGTGTCATAAAATGTCAAAAACCGAATTTGTCAAATATGTCCAAAACTATTCATAATTTACCTTGCCAAAACATGCCATTATAATTTAACATTTCATCGAAATTTAACTCAATGTTAATTACTGTTCATAAGAACTAAAGATTCCATTAATGCAATTAAAGATTAAAAAAAGATTCATTTCCAAACAATTTAAACAAGCACCATGACAAACTGATTTAACAGCAAGAAATGCTTTCATTGATTTGTCTATCTGGTCAGTACCATTGGCGACCATCCAAGGAACGAAGAGCGTGTTGAAATTGAAGTTGGAGTAAATGTTGTAGAGGGTGATCCAGGAGTACTTGCTTGGATCGGCCATTCCACGCTGATATGCCAGGTTCAACACTTTCAGCATGGTGCTCGGATTCGTGTGGCAAACCAAAATTACTGTGGATGTGTTATTTTGTTTCAAAAAGTTCACATAACTTTTCCAATGATATTTAAAAAAAATAATAGTAAAATAATTATTATCACAAATATGGTTTAGAGATACATGTTTTAAGTAGTGAAAAATTGTGCAAAATTTGTAAAACGCTACGATTTACATTGCGCAATAAAGGGACATTACAATATTTTACTTTTGAAGAATAGGACGGATAAAACATAGCAAACTTGGCAACTCGCATGAAAACTCAAAAATATAATAACTGAAGTGACGCACTTCTGTATAAAAACTGCGTACATGAATAGGCGTGGAAGCAACATATTACGCTCGTTGATCTTACTGTCCTGGATCAGACGTTACAACCATAAAATACAAAACGTGCAAAAATACAAACTTCTAGCCGAGTTATCAATTTTATCCAAAAGGTCGTTGACCTCTTCATCGGAAAGAACGTTGCCAACTTCCAAGAACTCACTGATGTTTATTTTAGCACGAAATTTATTCCTCACTGCATTCATCACGTACTGGCAGAAATCAATTTCAACCTCCTTCACAATGGCACAACTCTTCCAGTTGCTTCGTTGGAAGAGAGCAGCTAAGACTAAACCGTAAGCATTGAGAGACCCCGTCAGCCTGATGGCCGTGGAGTAGAGTGTGGAGTTGTCCAACGCGGGATCGATGCATTCCAGAGCGAAATATGGAACATTCCAATAATCAGTTACTTGGGCACTCGACACGCAGTCTATGAGGTGTGGAAAAAAATTTTGTAGCAAAATTCATTTGAGTGTCTGCGGTAGAGAAAGAAGTGAGGAAAGAAATCTCACCAAGAAATCGAACAAAGAAATCGTTCCAAGTTTACACTGTTAAAACATCACGAATAGGTCATCACAAAAACTAACTGGCGGAACAGAATGATCCAAAAATGACATTAACAGTCGCGTTCAAGTAGAGTTGCATGGTAGCTCGTGTTCCACTCATGCCATCGCATGCGTTGATAGTAAGGTACACAAGACTGTAGTTGGTTTCAATCAGTTTCGAACAGTACATTTTTTAAACGTTTATCTCTAATTAATATAACTCTTTTCAAATAATAATTAATTTATTTGATTTCTCAACTTGATTTTTTCAAAAAAATTCCATTTAGACTTGAATGGTGATTGCCATTACTCCATAAATACAATATATTTCATGAAAAATAGTAATAAACGGGTAATTAAACCTTAATAAAAATTAATCAATTAACATAAATATTATATTTTTAACCATTAATTTCCTAATAGATAATAACTAAAAAATGTTTCTTACTCATAATCAGCCATGGTCCCATTGCTACTATGATTGTATGCTCTAATGTAGCCTTCAACCACGTTGTTTTTAAACTTCGATTCATTCTCTTTGCTTATCATCACGCCAATCTTGACGGACTTCTCTATTGTCGGTCGTACTATCATTGATTGCACCATTAAGGATGTCAGTGTGAAATAAAAACTTTTCAACACTTTCATTCTGAGAAATAGGTAACAATTGATTATTAATTTTTATTCTTTATTCTAAAAAAAAATTGAGTAACAATTAATTTTTGTCATCATTTTCGATTTCTTTGTTCTGTGCAACGCTCTTATATTGGATATACTAAAGACTAATAAAGACTATTTTAAAATGGCCATGTATTTAACAAAATCATAAGTTATCGAAATTTGAAATTAAATAAACATTATAAATATATGAATTCTAAAATTAAATAATATATTGTTGAAAAAAGGCGAGAAATGAAAATGTCCTCGTCTTAAATAGTGTTCGTGCTAGGTGTGGCGAATGAGGCAGGCACGTAGGAGCAGATCGGCGAGAATATAACACAATAGTGATTGATTAACATTAAAAAATATGCGTAGGTGAGACGTTGACTAAATTGAGTGCAATAGATTTTTGATCTAATTGAATTAAAATGAAATTGATGATTAATCTATTTGCATTCATGAAAATTGATGAATGGTTAAGTTTGAGCTGGTAGCGGTCTCCTGGGGAAGGGGCAAGAATGCATGCATACCACCAGTAGACCAAAAAATACTAAAAATTCTGCGCAAATTAATGCCATCAAGTAAACGAAAATTAGAAAGGTCATTATTTTTATAATTTTGAAAATCATCTCCAACCAAAACGTGAATTATAAGGCAGAATAGGTCATTAACTTTAGCCTCATGAAACCGACCCATTCTTGCAAAGTTTTGGATCCTCCACAGCACCACATCCGTTTTATCGTTTCATCACAGTTTTTGTGGGAGCAAGAGATTCTAGTACTAGCACGAACAAATTCTATTTTATCCAGTTGAAAATTGTTGTGCACATTTATCAGTTTTCATGTCTGAAGTATCATCTTTATCATAATAACGATTTTATTCATTAAATTCGAATTCGAGTATTTTTTTAACTTTAAAGATCTATTTCAGTATGTGATTTGTTTAATTTTGTTTATAATTTTAACTTTGTTAACTTCGATGGTTTCAAACTTTTTTGGTTTTTTCGTTTGTTTGTTCTCTCGATTTTGGATGGATTGATGGCTTAGTGGTCGTCTGTTGTTTCCATT